AAATTTACTAAAGAACAAATAATGGTTGATACTAATAAATTCATGAAAGCCGGAGCTCTCTGGCAGACTCTCCGCCTTTACTATGCCTCTTATGACAAATAATCCTCTTCCTTTTGATTCTTTGTGAACTCTAAACTCCATTTCTGTTTTAGCCCAGGCCAATCCTATTTCCTCCTTGCTTGTGGTTCAAGCCTACATGCTTCATGCCAATTGGCTCATATTTGAAATAGAATTCCGGGTCAGCAGTGGTTTTGGTTTTCCACGCATTCAAAAATGCATTAAAAGCATTGTTTTCTGAGTTGGCATATTTCAACAAACAAATATCTCTACACGTTTTACTGCCCACTGTTATCATTGACTACAGTTTATTTACAAGTGAGCATCTCTCCATGCTTACAATATTCCTGTTTTTTAGCCAAAAGTGTGGAGAAACTTTATTACTTTTATAAGAAAATTAATACATTTATTCAAATCATTCGTAATGGCAGTTACACAATATGAATAATTTGTATCGCAGAAACTATTTTGCATTTTCAACATAAGGAATGGTAATAAGGAGAAATGAGATTTTTCACAATTTAAAAGAAAAGTACAAAATGTAGATATTGGTTTTGGTATTTGACGAGATTTTTAATGCTTGAAAATCGATATTTTTAGCACTTGTAATTACAAAAGAATATAATAAAGGATCTTTTTAAAATAAGAACAAAGAAGATTGTTTAAGTCTCAAATATATAGGTTGAGAGTGTTGGAGAGGGCGTAGAAGAATTTCTAGTCGGTGACAAGGAACAGATAAAAACGGTTTACTTTGATTAATACTACAGGTTGTCCCAAGAAACATAGGACATGGGATCGTCTTTATAATGAGTTTTGATTGATTATTGATTGAGTATATGTGATACGAGGGAGGNTCATAATTATATTCTTTCTACACATTTTTGATGAATGGGGTATGGTTTGAACAATAAATAATAAGTTGCAATATTCATATATATGCTAATTTTACATATCACCTTTTCACCACTGCGAACTTTCCATCCAAATTATTTGTTAAAATGGGAAGACAAAATTTTACACTAAAAAATTATTTTAAAGTATTGATTTTTATCTTAGTGCTAAAAGGAGTATGCAACCTATTCCCGCATCTTGTCCTTTTTTGGATTTTTTTCTTCCTACAGTTGATTATCAATAAAAGTTTTTTAGAGCAGTCTTCTGCTGGGCTCAAAAAGGATTCCGTGGGGTTCCGGCAGGGTTCTGCTAACTACCTGGGTTCGAAAAGTATATTGCAGGGCTCATGGCCACATGGTCCCCCCTCCCTCGTGATAACCACTGAGAAATCTGTTATCCATAGGATTTTGGTCTGCTAGAGTTTACAGTTGCTTGTTTATGTTTAGAGTGCATACGGTTGTGTGCAGTAAAAAAAGAATTGTCCTGCACGAAAACAAAGTAAACCGCGGTCCCCCTGCCCTGTTCTCGTCTTGCATCATTATACGGCCTTTAACCGTTTTCATAAAATAATTTCTAGCAGACTTTATGATTTTTGAAATCAGATATTATATTGCTACTTCTAACAAAGACGATTCGTCACTCGATCAATTCCCATTTTTATTGGGACACCCTGTAGCTTTTTACAGAGAATTTGAAGTTTGTTTAAAACAAATTTTAAAGAAATTTACAAAAATTATTCAAAAGATATGACATGGCATAGCTGATGTTCCAATGTTTCTTTCAGAACAAAACTATTCAAATGATATGACATGGCATAGCTGATGTTCCAATGTTTCTTTCAGTACAAAACTATTCAAATGATATGACATGGCATAGCTGATGTTCCAATGTTTCTTTCAGTACAAAACTATTCAAATGATATAACATGGCATAGCTGATGTTCCAATGTTTCTTTCAGTACAATAATGTGATTGTCCAATGCCAGGCCATGCAATGAATATTATTAACTTTAGGACCAAATTAAAAATGTGTTCGGAGTATAGCAATATGCAGCTGCAAAAGTAAAATTTATTCTAAAATGTTATTTTTGATATTCTAAAAACGTGACGGCGGCCAAACGGTTTTTAATTTTAAGATCATTTAAAGAAGGACAGTCAAAACACAGGGGTGGGCTATGGCCCATGAAGTGGGCTCACCCCTGGAAAATTGCTCACCCCTGAAACTAAATTTCTGACCCTTAAGGATGAAGCTTTAGGGATGAAAACGGAAACTAGTAAAAATTCAAAAGTTAAATATTCTATTTAGTTTTTAGCTATGTTTTTAAACACAATAAGATATATATATGCACAGAAAACTGTAAAATCTTGTTCCACTAAGGGATGAGCAAGAAAATTTTGGGCTACGCGCGATACTAGTTTCGTTCATCCCTAATCACTTTCTGTCAAAACGGTATCCTTGAAACCTTTATATGATCAATAATGTGCATGATTCCGTCGTTTTCTAGTTTGTAAAGTGTTAAATTCTTACAATACCTGCCTCAACTGCAGAGGCGCAACTAGGGGGGGGCGGCCGGGCGCGCGCCCTCCCCTAGCACCTGAGAGGGGGGGGGAAACTGTTTCTGCTTGCAGAAGAAATGCAAGTTGGATAAACAGTAATTTCTAATTTTCAAAAAGAAAAAAAACATGGACATCTAACTCATTCTTGACCAGCTAAAGCTTTAAAGGATACCGTTGTGAATCCGATATGTCACTATATTAATGCATTTTACAATTTCAATATTTCAAAGTTTCTAACTGAGCGTTTCAATGCAATTTTAATTCATTATAAATTCGATTTTTTAAAACTTTTGTCTTGCAGAAATCTTTAAGACGCATAACAAAAATTTAGAGAATTTACGTAATTATCTGGAGTTTTTCTTTGATGTTATTTATTTTAATCGAAATAAGGTTAAAGAGTGCTAGATAGTTTTGTTACTTTTTTAAAGGTTTTCATTATCATTTAAACAAAGACTATTTCTGCATCGGGGATGACGGAATATAATCATTAAGTACAATTGCAAGATGCAAGTGCAACTACGTCTTTATCAGTATAGATATTCTTGCGTAGTTTGTGTAAACAGTTATTTTGATTGAAAAAGTCAATGCGATACTGCAATACAAGGATGTAATGAAAGGAAAGTTATTTCAGAAGTGTACACATCTTTTGTACTGCAGTGTACTGTCTCTGGGCGGTAATGTAAACACAAGACGGATGTCAAAGTCTGACATGGGATCCATCTTTCAAATAAAAAATCAAAGAAATATTCTGGTCATAGGAAACTATTATGTGAATTATCAAAATTATCAAAATTTAATGCTTTTAACCTCCTCGGATACTAATCGAACACTGATGCATCTATTCTTGTTTACAAATTCCGCCTAAAGAGAACTGGTTTCAATATGTACGCAGAGTATACACGATCACAATTAACTTTCCTTGCATTACACCCTTGCTGCAATATGTAGTTATATCATTTCAAAGAATGTAAATTTAAAGGGAACCGTCGTTGCAACTTCAAGTAACCATTAGTTTAAAGAGTATCATGTACGCTTTAACGGCCCTTTAGCTGATCAATTACTTGGAAGATATCGTCAGTTTTGCAAATTGATAAATGATTTTTTTTGACAATGTCCTTCATTGATTCTGAATAGGAATGCGTAGTCCAGAAACTCCAGTTGAAAATAGCCCATTTTCAGAGGGGAACAATGTATGTTTCTTGTATTTTTGTATTAGATGAACCATTCCAGTTTACCGTTGTGAATCTAACTTATCCTACTTTTAAAATGGTGGGTTACATTTATTGAATTATTGACGACATTTCATTTTAGTTTTTCATTCTGAACCTAATCTGAGATAAATGTTTAAAGTATCTTAAATCAGAGTTGTTTTTACTTGCATATCTGACAAGGTGGTTCCATGTGGTATGCCCAGGTGTGGAGACTGCTACTCGTGCAAGCATCCACGAGGAATAGAATACAATCAAATTTAAATAATTTTATACTTAACATAAAAAATTGTGACGCTTAAAATTTGCAACCCGATTTTGATCAACTAAATTCACATTTTACTAATAAATCGTGTAATAAGAGACATTTTAGGGATACAAATGGCCTGATCTAGATCTTTTAACAGATACTTGATATTTATAAATAATGCTATGCAACTTAACTTTAAAACATTTTTCTGTTTTGACATTTATTTTACAGACTATTGTAAAAATTTTCTTAAGGGATTGAAGTCAGGGGAGCTCCCTCTTGTTATGTTTTGGGGATATAAGAAAGCCATGGCGAAAAATTTTCCGATTTCACTAGTTACTTAAGATTGATCTAAGGTGTTGGATGTGTAAATTTTCCGACTGCTCATCACCTTGTAAATGCAAGTCAGACTGTATCCGCTAGGTAAGTACAAATCAAAATTATGCTATCTGGGTTTCAGGTTGGATAACTCAAGGATTTTTCCCTAAACCTCATTTCAAGTTTTCACTTAACTAATTTTAAAGGTGCGGGTAAAAGTGTGTACACTTGTCTTATTAAGTATTACATGACTGTTTGGGAAATACAAAAACATTAGAACCAAATAGCATTACAGATACAGAATGATTTTTACCACATCTCAAGGGTTTATAATTGAATCCCTCGGGGGTTTAAATTTCCATTCTAATTTGGCCGAGAGTAAATGACATTCCTTTTTAAAGAGGGGATTCAATGATAAACCTGAGGGCTTGCGGATTTTGCGGATTTTTTTTGCCTTTGTAGATTTTCAAAGTATCTTTCAATGAAAATATCCCGGCGGGATTAAATGAAAATTGTTGCATACCAAAAACCCAGCTTTTTATAAAGGAATGTATAATCATCGTACAGTGAATAATCATGTTTCTAGAAAAAAAAAATATGAGCCTAATGAATTTTAAATATTTTTTTGCCAGAAATGTATGGGTGGCGAGAGTACACTACGTGAACGTGCCCTCCCGAAGCTCCACTTTCCCTGAAAATATTAAATGCAATCACCTATATAAAATAAAAGGGGGAGAGAGAATATATATGGTCACTTTATAATAATCGAAAAAAGCCAATTTTAGTATTTGCGCTTATTTTACTTGGATGTTTAAATGTACATGTTATGGTTAATTCTCTATGTGAATTAACCAATCTTTGGTTAAGTAAAACCATACAATGATCAGATTTTTTTGGTACTATTTTATAATTTTAAAAACCTGATAGTTGAGAAGTTTTATCTTGGGGAAAGAAGGTGCTGCTTCCTTACAGACCTTACTAAAATGAGTTAACTGATTCAGAACAATAAAATCAACGTTGCAAAGAAATTTTCCAAAAACTTCAATTTGTATTAGGGAGTCCATGACACATTGGGTATTTTAAAAATTGTTAGTATCTTTTTCCATAAAAAGTGAGAATAGAATACCGTAAACATATTCATGTTCCTTTTAGAGGTCAAAAGCTGTTTCCTTTGTTCGGCCTTGGAACTTTCTGTGAATATATTGTGGTCCCAACCACTCAACTGGCTAAGGTAAATTTGTAGTCTCGTCTCAATCTGTAAACTAAAAAGCATCTGGTAAAAGGTTACATTTGAATATACCTAAGCAAAGTGTGTGTATAATTATTTTACTTCTATTTATGTAAAATATTAATACTTAAAGGAACTGTACACGTAATATAAAGTGAACTTCCATTAAAAAAAGAAGAGAGAATGTTTTATTTCAGGGGACATTAGTTCCAAAACTAACACTTGGCCCATTTCTAACACTGAGTGTTAGAAATGGGCTCAGATTGAAAGACTGGGTTTTTGGCATCCCGGCCCATATCCAGAGTAAAATTGGATAGTGAAAACTATAACCAACATTAAATTAAACATGACGAGGACAACAATTCTCAATTTTAAACTTTTTTAAAAGTCAAAATTATAAAAGGTATTCTTTTGTTATTAAAGCACTTGACCGTTTTCAAGACAATGTTAGGTTTTTCATTCTCGAACATATCCTGAATTTGAAACATTGTTGCGTTTTCGAGACAAAACCCACTTTCCCGTTTTTGAGTATAATCCACAATTCAAAACAATACTCACTTTCATAACTTAACTTCTAAATTATTTCTAGAATCTAAGTTTCCACATTTTATCTGTAAAATTAGAGAATATGGATCATTTGTTTTCAAGCATTTTAAACAAACACTTTTTTACTGCAATTCTAGTTAAATCTATATATTGTAAGAACAAACAATATCAATATTTTGATTTCTAAATGCTGCAATGATTTTTTAACTATAAAAGAACAGTTTGTTTTTATTTTCTATTTTGTTTACATTTTACCTTATCAAAAAATCTTGTTTCGTTTCATAAGTGCGTAATTACTAGAAAATTGGAATTATTTCCGGTAATTGTCTCAAAACCAGGATATGTTCCGAAAACGCGACATGTGCTGAAATCCGGTGATTGTCTCAAAACCAGGATATCCGGTAACTGTTTCAAAATAAGGATTTCGTCTTGGGTTTAAATATATATATACTCTAGAAAAAGATAACTTTGCAGATTTGGCCCATTTCTAACACTCTGAGAAAAGAAGGAAATTGACCTTTCTTAAAACTGTTTCATATAAATAAATGAAAAATGACTATAACTTCCTCATGGTCACTAAGACAGAGGTTCAAAGGGTAAATCAAAAATGTCACTTTTTCAATGAAGGGTCACTTAAAATTATGTCGACGTCTTCCATGATTTAAATTCTTCAACTTTGATTAAAGTTATCCCCTGAAACTTGTGTTGATCAATTGGCTCCCCTTGGCTGTGCTGTTCTAACTGGGTGGGGTGCAGCAGAATCTGTTGCTAAGGTTACAAAGGAAGATAAGGTAAAAAATACACTCAATTCAAATTTTATTCCTGTTTGTTAGATTTTCCACTTACTGACAGATAATTTGTGACATTAAAATTCAGTCATTTTGAAACATTTTCTGACACGGTAAATTTTCTCTCCGAAAAACTGGCATGTTGCATGGCTCCACTGCAGCTGCTATGGTTCTTTTGTCAAATTGGTGCTCTCGAAAACGGGGACTTCAGTGCGCTCATGATTTATTTATCTTACAAATTAAAAGAATTTAAACATTTTTCCTGCACCAGAGGAGTTAAAAGCTCACACTATTTATCTAATAGAAATAACTTTTGAAATTTGTGATAATTTTTATTGAACTTATAATAATAGCAATCTTTACGCAGGTAGCTATTTGGGGCTTAGGGGCAGTTGGTCTCTCAGCACTTATGGCATGCGTAAAGGCGAAGGTTCGATAATGATATTCATTTCTGGGATCAGTTTCAATGAAAAGGGGTAGAAGTAGATTACATTGAACCACTTCTCTTCAGGTTGAATCCACGCACAAGAGAACTGGTTGAGCTAGCGATACATGGTTCAACTTTTTTACACTTTTCTTAGATCTAGACAACTCTTAAACTTAGTCATCAAAATATTAACCAGCCTCGCCTTTAGTTTTATCTCACCAACTTTTAAATAATTTTTTGTAGCCCTTGACATATAAATTCAAAAAATCCAATATACGTGCCGCTAGCTTAGACTTAAGAGGAGTAATTGGCAAAATACTACCCGAATTTTGTGGGAGAGTGTGCACATCTTGGTTTGCAGTGACTGTTCATTAAATCTGGTCCTAAATTGACAAACCTAAGTTAAGAAACCGTCATGAGCTTAGTTTTAGTTAACATTTTTACAAGAAATAATTCCACATGAACCATGTCCTATTTATAACATTAAACCTCAATCCCATCAAGGATAAAACTAAAATGACTTGCGGATTTATGCGTTTTAAACCATAAAGAAAATTGTTAGTATTCGATACTTTTCAAGCAACGATACCTTCTTCATTGTTATTTTGAGGGTTATACTGTTGTGTTCAATCTGACATGGCAAGCGTTTGTTTTTCAAATTTTGCATGTTTAAAGGGACCGTTCACTTCACTTCATGGTAAACTGAACAGCCTATTATCTGATAATCAGTATTAGTCTTTTTAAAGACAACTGTGGCTGGATAAAAAGCCGATTTTTCGGTCAGAATTCGAGCGCAAAGAGACGATCCCTTTGTCTGAAACACTATACTAGACGTTTTCAGCAACATCAGCCCAAAAATATTAAAATTTATCATATTTCAATGCCACTATGTCTCATTTCTCCGGACACAGTTGTCTTTGAAAAGTAAGACCAATACTAATCAAAAGCTAATAAGCTATTCAGTTTACCTCAAAATTACCCAAACAAGTGAACGGTCCCTTTAACTAGATTGAAACAAACGTGATTTTCTACCGTACATTTTCAGATATTCCTGTTTAATAAAATGATTAATCCACAATTTTTCCAGGCTAAAATAGTTATCGCCGTTGATGTTGATGAAGACAAATTAAAGACAGCTGTAAAGTTTGGAGCTACTCACACTCTTTTAGCCAACAAGGAGACTTCCAACCTAATCAGACAGGTTTAGACAAAAACTTTTGATAACATTTTAAATCACTTTTCTTTTTAAGTGTTTGCGCTTTTTTTACTCCTTTGCACTAGTATATTTTGATTGTTGATTTGTATTTGTCATATCATGCTCGGTTTTGAGCATCGTTCCCTGGCTAGTTACAAATATTTTTGTATTTCTTACCAAAAAGTACATTTCATTTGATCAAACAGAGCTAAATGTTTATACGGTGACAGAAGATATATCAACCAGAAAACACTTTTGTAATTTTGTAATATGTAAAGTTTTTGATGATTTAAAGAGAAAAAAATATAAAAATAGATTTTATAAAGTTGCAGTAAATCAAATTTTCTAATCCTTATAAATTTGCATACGGATGGTACAAACCTTTATTTGTTTAGATATGAGAATTTACAGTTTGAAATATCAAAGGTCTACAACCATCAAATTTATGTTTGTGAAAAAAAGCATAAATTTTGCGAACAATACATAAAAGTTTTAAAATCATAAAAGCTTATTCATTCACTCTTCTCATCAAACTTTTGATCGATGGAATTGATTACTCATATCTAAAATTCAGATTTTCTAATCTTTGTATTCCGAAGATCTGTTTATTACAAAGCTTTCAGGGCGCTTCGGGCCCATATTCTTTTTCAATTGTGAACATTTTCTGTTTGTATACATTGTAAAACAAAAACAAAAAAGTTTGCGGATTTTATAAAAAAATGTTGTGTATTTTCAAAACTTTATGGAAATCGAATTTTGTTGGGGTCTATTTTTTTAAAATTTCGATCATTTATAAACCTTTTCTGAGGTCATGTGAGGTCTTACAAAAAATTTGGGCCTGATCGGTTCAGCCGTTTAAACGTTTATAGGATACAAACACATAGACAGAAAAGCAAAGTATATAGATAGATTTTAAACATTTACAACTTGATTTATAAGAATTAAGGATTTAAGATTTACAACAAATGTAATGAAATATAAGTTTATGATAGTTATCATTTCCTTTACCTGAATATTTTTATTCTTATTTGTTTTCACTAGATATGATTTAACTTAAAGATCTTAATTCAACATTCAGGGCGCTTCGGGCCCATATTCTTTTTCAATTGTGAACATTTTCTTTTTGTATACATTGTAAAACAAAAACAAAAAAGTTTGCGGATTTCATAAAAAATGTTGTGGATTTTCAAAACTTTATGGAAATCGAATTTTGTTGGAGGCTATTTTTTTAAATTTCGATCATTTATAAACCTTTTCTGAGGTGATGTGAGGTCTTACAAAAAATTTGGGCCTGATCGGTTCAGCCGTTTAAACGTTTATTGGACACAAACACACAGACAGAAAAGCAAAGTATATAGATAGATTTTAAACATTTACAACTTGATTTAAAAGAATTAAGGATTTAAGATTTACAACAAATGTAATGAAATATAAGTTTATGATAGTTATCATTTCCTTTACCTGAATATTTTTATTCTTATTTATTTTCACTAGATATGATTTAACTTAAAGATCTTAATTCAACTAATATTCAAAGTTCTTCTTTGATTTGTTTAGCTTAAGCTTATTTGATTTAACTTGATCTAATTTTATTCAGGGTGATAAGTTTATTCTGTTTAATTAAAATCATTTTTTTTTTCGAATCGCTCGAACTTATTCTATCCACTAGATTTGTGAAAGTGGAGTTGACTTTGCATTTGAGTGTAGTGGGAGTCCAAAAGCCGAAGGTAGGATTTAGAACTAACAGTAAAATTTTACAAATTGTTTTATTATTTAAAATTCTGTTTTGTAGACCAAGCTATTGATTCTCTTCAGTTTGGGTGGGGGCTAGCAGGTGAAAAGAAATTTTAATATCTTAACACATTTCCAAAAAGATTTGAAAAATTTGGTTATTTTTTTTAGTTCTGGTTGGATGCCCTAATACCAATTCTTCTTTAAGTATCCCTACCAACCAATTCATTGGACAGGTAAGTTTTACAAACCATTGAAAGTAAGCATTTTATCAAGATTTTAGTCAAGGTTATGAATAATTTTAATTTGGACTATATGGTCTTTTGGAGTAACAAAAATGGAACTAGCTCTATAGGCATCTTTGAATGGCATATACTCTTTCTTTTTATTTTGCAGTTTTTTTGGAAAGTTACTTTTGAAGAAAAAATTATCTCTAGGGAAAATCTATTCGTGGAATCATTTTGGGAGGATGGAAGAATCCTAAGGAAGCACTAACTAGGCTAGCTGAGGGATATTCAAATGACAGGTGTAAAAAAACTTCAAATGTAAATAAAGCTTACTATAACTTCCAAACATTTTTTAAAGAAGATTATGTACATGTTATGGTTAATTCT